GGAGCAGGAAGGGGGCAGGGGTTAAATGCTTCCCCAGAGTGTGTGCTTTCCACTGGCGTAAACCCAGTGAAGAGTCCCCGAGTCCCCGCTGACTGACAGAGCCTAAGGGCCTACTGTGAGCATGATTGAGCACAGGCAGCTGAACTATTGCCCAAGAAATTACAGCTTTTAAATCGGTTCCACATTCAAGTGCCATGTTTACCAATGTTTGGAAACACTAATGATGAGAGGCTGGAGATTTTTCATCAGGCTTTACAGCCTCAGTCAGCATCAGTCTTTTCCAGACGGCGAGGTTTTGACTGCCAGACTGACAGAGAGAAGAGAGAAGACGGAGACCGAAAGAGGAAAACCTGTCTTGACAAACACCCCACAGATGTTGCTCCTCTCTGACACCACTGGTCTCCATAGCAACCCTACTGGCCAGTAATAGCCTCCAGCTCGCCTGGCTGCAGCGGCGTCATAAACACGCACACAGACACATGCACCATACACACACACAAACCAGCAAATTTCAGCCTCTGAATGGGATCCCAGTGTGTATTTATAGAGACAGAGGGACTCACTAGCCCACCCAGCCCAACCACCCCCTTAGGCCTGACCAGAGAAGACACGAAACTTAACAGAGACCATCTAACGCCATCACTAAAAGCCCTGGACATACACAAACACAAACAGCCATAAAAACAAATCCACCAAGTCCCTCGATCCCAGTAAACAAGCCCTGTAATTGGTGATAACAGATAGTTGGGACTTTTACATTAGAGCTGGCTTGTGTTTTTGCTACCCAGGTACGTGCGAAAAGCACTTACTGATTCGTCTGCTGAATATTAAGATGTACACTCGTTTAAACATGGAAAAGAGTAATAAAAATTGTCTTAACACTTTGTGAGGCACTGTCATGAATACAGAGGATAGCCCTCTGTTACCAGTGCTCTTGAGTTCCCACAAATTCTGCACAACATAGATTTCATTTAGAATTAAAGCCTATTGTCAACAGGTGTCCTTGGCTGCTAGGATACACTCTGTTATCGTACAAAGTTGATTGTTTCCCCCAAAATCTGATAGATCCATCTTTGATCATTTCTTACACTTGTCACATCTCATACTTGCTTCCATCAGGATGGAGACTTTTCCTCCTTAATTGCAGCACTAAACGTTACAGATCATCCTTTGTCCCGTCTGCTATCGCTTATCTTGACCAGCAGTGACCACTTATTGTCCATGATTTACCCCCTGACAGTGATGTTTTACTTAGGACTACGGACTGTATCCCAATTTGCCCCTTGGGGACATTAAAGTTTTACCTTACCTTAACTTACCTCTTCCTAACATACAGCGAGCAAGTGAACTCTGGCAGATGGAACGTGAAAAAATTGTCCTGATATACTACGAGTGAAGAAACATTTAGGGAGCCTAACAAGCCCTGATAAAGCCCCGGACAAGCTTGCAGCTGCTCTGAAAATAGACTGGAGGTGTGCAAAAGTTCACAAAAAAACAGAAAAGAAAAAGAAAGAGCATGGGCGAGCAGTTTTTCAAGCAAGTGACACATTGCTTAGTCTATTCGCTGACACACAAGCAGGTCAGCACTTGGGGAAAAACTGAAATAATGTGATATTTGCTTGTTCGTATGAGGTCAAGTATGGAAGAGATGTGAGACCTGCCTCAGTGGGTGAATGAAGATTTCTCCTTAACTACTGTATTCTAGAAAACTAAATGTATAACAAGACTAGGGCTGACAAGACAATTAGCCGACTAATCACCAGCATGTTTATATTAATTTAATTATTAAATGATATATTTTGGGCGGGGCAACACAATGGTTTGAGCTGAAGGTGTGAGAAAGAATAGTATCAGTAACATTGTTAACACTGTGCTAAAAATATGCTAAAAATATGTTTTAAACTGAACTGAATTGATATGCAACAGGTGCGGGGTTGCTGGAAGGCCAGCTGGCTTGTAGTGAGACAGCGACTGTTGTCTCTTGTTTGGCAATATTACAAGGTGTGTCACAGAGAAATCTGAAAATGGCTATTTGTGATGTAATTTAAACTGTCAAGCTGCTCTGTGATCATTCAATGAGGCGTGCAAACAAGATTTTTGAAGGGAGAGCCAGAGCAACAACACTCTGCCACATCAAGAGATAACAGTTAATTCTGTTGTATTTTAGGCCCTAATATACCATATGGTTTAACATTAAAGGGGTCTTACAGTATTCTGCTCATTTCCAGGTTCAGACTTGTATTTTGGGTTTCCAAGACACTGCAGTTTCCTCATACTGTTTGTGCTGGAACACCTGCAGTCTGTCTAAGTTTTAGTGCCTGTCCCTTTAAGCACCCCCTGCCGGAAAAGCCCTGCTTTGATTGGTCAGCATTTCCAGGTCTCTCCCTCTAGAAATGAAACATCTGCAACCAAAATTACACGTTTCCCTGACATAAGTATGCAGCTACATGTAGCAGTGTACCTACAGCTGGGGAATGACTATAAGAGTATAGCTACACATTGTACCGTGAATAAATACAAATAAAAGCTTTTAAACCAATATCTTCAGACACATTCTAGCTTGAATTTGATCAGAAAATCTGGGAGAAATGAACCATTTCAACAACCAAAATTCATGTATCCCTTACATTAGCATGTAGCTACATGTAGCAGTGTACTTGCAGCCAGGGAATGGCTGCACTTTCTTTCTGTAAAAAAAAAAAATCACTACTCAACCAGACATGTTCCAGCAGTAATATGACCTGAAATCTGGGAGACACTGACAACATCTGCAACCAAGATTACATGTTGCCCTGGGGTTAGCATGTAGCTACATGTAGCAGTGAACTTGCAGCTGGGAAATGACTAAGGTAGTGCAGTGGCCCTTTCTACCTTGAAAAAACCCACCAATACCAGCTTATAAACACAACCAGACATGTTCCAGCAGGAATATGATCTGAAATCTGGGAGAAATTAATCATATCAGCAACCAACATTACATGTTTCTCTTACATTAGCATGTAGCTACATGCTACTACGTACCGATGTAATCACAGCCGGGGAATGACTGTAATTTCTTTCTGTGAAAAATCACTTATAAAAATTTCTCAACCAAAATCTACACAACCAGACACGTTCCTGCAGGAATATGACCAGAGTTGGGTATAATGGTGATTTTGCAGTAGCGAGTAACCTAACGTGTTAGTTTGCTGTTTGAGTGATCAGATACTTAAGTACATTTTCAAACAAGACATCAGTTACTTCCGTTACTTTTAGAATGCTGGTCCTTCAGCTCCGAAACAGCAACGGCTGTCTTTTGGTTCTAATAACAGAGATAACGTTAAACCTATCAGTCTGAAAGAAGCCACGGAGCTTGTGGCTCGCTACGTGGTCGGAGAAATGCTGCCGTTGTCTACGGTGGAGTCTAAATAGGTGGAGTACGACTCGCTGACAGACATATTTCAAACTCAGGATTTGCATTATGCCTGGTACACACTACACGCTGGTACACACCAATTATCCCCGGTCGTCTTTCACGGTGTGTGTGATGTCATCGGGTTATTCTTTTCCTGTTTTTATTACTTTGACTATTATTTGAGTCACTGTGTCTGTTCATGTCCCAGCCGACATGTTGTTGTAGTCACCTAAAAGCATCAGCAGATGGCAGGAGCTACATTTGAAGTGCCATTATGTAAACTATCAAGCTACTGTATCTTCCACAGGAAGTTCTGACAAATGTTTCAGAATAAAAGTCTATTTAGAAAATGGAGGGATTCTCTCAGCCGAGGTTATAAGGGGCTTTTAATTTGAAATAAGTGTTGAGTTTAAAATGACGGTGCGATATGTTAACTTTACAAAGACAACGGACCGGATAAAAAGTAAATATATAAACACACAGAGGGATTAATAAATAACAGAGCGTCTATAATGTAGTCTGTTTCAAATGAAGCTGGGAGCCTCTGCAGCTGTGGTGAGTAAAAGCCCCGCCGCTATTTGTTAATGTTATTACTTAATGTCAGACCGTGAGGATGTACCATTGTTTGCTAGCTTGATGCTAATGACAGTAACGTTAACTCAGCGGGTTGACAAAGTGCCTCTGCTGTTTCACACCATCATTTCCTCCTTTTACTCTGTGTGGTAACATTCCTAGAGGAAATATTAAAAACGCTGGGGTGTTGTTGTCATGCAGTTGTCTACGGCAGCAGATCGTTCTGTGTTTCTACTGGTCAAAGTGACGGCTGTGATGGGAGAACTGGATCTCAGTGAAGGGCAAGTGGTCCATAACTTTAATTTTGGAGACAAAAAAAAATGTAGGCTTAGCGCCCTGTGGTCCATTGCCCAATAGGAAATGTAGAATACTCAAAAGTACTTTAAAAGTGCTTGAGTTACTTTTCTCAGGGAGGAACGCAGTAACGTACTTTGATTACTTTTAAAGTAACCCTTACCCAACACTGAATATGACCTGAAATTGGGGAAACACTGACAACATCTGCAACCAAGATTACATGCTTCCCTGATGTTACCATGCAGCTACATGTAGCAGTGTAGTCTATGTAATGTTAACACTTGCAGTGCCAGGAGCAGATGACCATATAAAGAAACCGGTTACACAGTAGATGGAAACATGTTGGAAACAGAATATTCAGAACGGTCTGAAGCCTCTTGTTACTTTTACATACGTTTACCTCATATTTGAAACATTTAATATGGATAGGTACCCTCATACTTGTTGGACTATTCCGACACAGTCTACATCATACATCCAGACAAAAACAACACACTAATACTCACTGTCCCCATCATCTGTATATATAATGTATATGCCTATCATGTGCTATAAACCCCGTCAACTTCACACAATGCCTCTCCGTGTACATTAACAGGAAATGATGCTCCATTCTACAAAGGTGACAGCAATTTGCAGTTCAAGGCAGGGAGTGAGCTGATGATTACATAAAGGATTTGAAAACACTGAAAGCCTCTAAACTGTATATGTGGGAGGTGAATCTGAGTGCACTTACCAGGTGGCAGACAGAGGGACAGAAAATCGAGGGGAGGGGAAACACTGGAGGACAGCACTGGACCACTCTGAAAAAGAAGGCAAAAAGAAAGAGAGAGAGCAAGGAAAGTGAGGAATAAAAAAGGGCAAAAATAAATAAATTAGTGAAGTGTAATTTGCAGATATCCACTCTGCTGCTGACTTCATTATTCAGCTTCATCTTGTACACTTACAGTAATATTACAGATGCTTGTAATGCCTTCAGGGAGACACTGACACACAAACACGTCTCTGCACAAGAACACGCACAACACACACCAGGGTGTAATCACTCGCCCCCCTCATGCTCCTCATCCTATTTGACTTGTGCAGAATTTTAATCATTCCTCTGGCTTCTGCTTAATAAACTTTTAATAGGAACCTGCTTCCCTTAAGAAAGGCTGCCTTCGTCAGAGAGATTGGTGGAAATGAGCTGGCAAATTAGACAAACGGCACCACCTCCGCATCTGCTCTGCTGTAGCTTTTGAGCGCTGGGTACAGCATGTCACTGAGGATGAAGAGACTCTACGAAAAGCTTCAAATGTAAATGTGAAGCAGAGATCGTGTCACAGGGACAGACAGGGAGAAGGAGCGAAACAGGAACAAAGCTATAGATGGGAAGGAGGATAATCCTCCACTTGGCAGGCCATTGTATATCCTTATGTCCTCGCCGAGAGCAAGACAAATTCCTTAACATTTCCTGTGCTTAGCAGTGACTGTGACTCTGCTTGTGTCTCTCGTCACCTCATCATCCCAGCTCCATCTTGCTTTGCCCGGTGCAGGAGAGGAACTGTGGCGGTAATGGTTTCTATATACAGACACTTTGCAAGATAAACTTTGCCAGATAAGCGCAGACACGGCAGGATAGAGTTCAACAGCTAAGTGAGGAAAAGTTGCTGTTCTGCAGATTGTATTTACATCTGGGATTGTCCTAGTTTTTTAATGTTGATTTTTGTAAACAAAGTAAAAATAATGTTTCCAATGACTGGGCCCTTTGTTCTGTTTTGCAGAAGGCTTATCAAACTGTAGATCTTTTGGATATATTTGGAAGAGGATGAAACAAACAACAACGGTCTAAATTAACCTTTAACATTCACTATGTTTGTATTTGGACCACAATACTGTACCAAACCTCTGATCCCTTAATGTGGCTACCGTTGTGCTTCTCTGTCTGCGACAAGAGTATGCTCTGTGCTGAGAGAATGTGGTGCAATGAATAACCGAACTGTATATATATTCCAACAGCTCAGTTAATGAACAGCCCATCTCCAAAAATACAAAATCAAATCGTGGCGGGGGATGTTTTAATCGTGGCAGGCCACCACGAATAAATGAATGTGTGGTAAACCCTGCATCATTACATGAAACAGTGGTTTCTCGGTTTAAAAAGTTAACGATCCAGTGAGCACTGTGGCGTGACTAACGATTACCCAATCAGCACCACAGGAAGGACTAACACCATTGTCAAGCTGTGTGCCAGAACCAATAAGGAGTAAAGACAACAGCGGCAAAAGCTATTGACAAGACAGTTGCTGCTGTCCAGGCTGCTCTAAATTGACATGTCTTCTTGGTATCAGTCGATGTTTTACTTTGCTCTGCTCCACTCATAAAACCTGGCAAAACCAATATGTTGACACAACTACACATCCTCATGGACTTAAAATGAAAGTTTAAAATGACAGTATATTCAGGAGGATAAGTTGGTCACTGGTGACTGATTAGGAAAAACAGAATCAGGAAGAACATCTGGCTTCAAAGCCAATTTGACCCAGTGACCAAAATGTGGAATTACACCTCTGCATTCGTCACGTGATGCCATTGGGCTCAAAAGGGCTTTTTTCTATGACTTATATTGTAAAAGAGACGTCTGTAAATCAGTGGATACATTTTTTTTTTGAGCACCACAACCACCGTAACATGACTCGTTTCCCCATAAGAATTTGATCTATTCAGTCCAGTAACATTTCGACAGTCTAGAAGAGCCTCACAATGAAATAATCTTATACCCATTTCAGTTAGTCGAGGGCTAAACCACTCGGCTGGCGGAAGCCTGTCGTGCTCTTGCTCAATAGGCCCCACGATGTGGAAGATCTGGGTAATTTTTTACCCAGGAAGTCAAACTTTTTTGGCTTCATGCACCACTGAGCTAGCCTGGAAATCCAGACCCAAATCTAGAAAGATTTAGGGTCTGGCTATGAGTAATGCAAATGGCCCAACTCGAGGGGCAGCGCCAAGCATGCATTTGAAAATATCACTGCACGCAATTGGATAACACTACGACCAATCAGAACAATACATGGGGTGACGTATTCAGAGCGCTACCAGTTGAGCTAACTTGTTTCTGGTTGGCAAAACAGCAAAAACGTCCTTCTTGCAAAGGAAAGACTTGAGCGCCGTCTTCTGTTCCTCTTTTAGAGAAAAAGCCAAGTCTAACTCGTTCATTGTAGCAGCCAAAGCCGTTTCAAACAACTGGTGTTCATCCGTAGCCATGTTGCAATGTTTACTGACTGATTCCGGACTTTGTCGTCGCAGTGCTGTCGTCATCTGTTTAGCTCGCCTCTGGCCCGCCTATATCAGATACACCGATGTGATTGGTGCAGCTCGGCTCCAAGGGCATGGGTAATGAGCATCATTACTGATTACTGGAGTGACTCGCTGAGCAAATTCAAATTGTGCTCTTGCGAGAACTCTGGATTTCCAGGGTACCACTGAGCAACTTTCCAAGGAATTAATGGGGCGCTGCTTCCTACGCTGTATCAGGTTCTCTTTATACATCCATGGAATGTCACCACTTTACAACTCTGTCTGATATCAGGCAACCACATGACTGTAAATATATATGTTCAAATAAACACAAAAAGTTTGTGCTCTATAGAAAGGATCAACACTCAGTGAAAAACCTAAGCCCTATGATAAGCTAATATGGCAAGGCTTAACTATACAGACCAATGAGCAGTGATAACTAGCATGTCTTTGGGGTCATCGGGTGGGAACCTCCTTTCACCAGTGTTTCGTCTAGTTGGTCCCACGACACCTCCAGGAGGCTAGACAGTGATCTCTAGCGTCCCAGAGACACTCCCCTAATGCCGGGTCTCACTGCTCCCTTCCCTGCACCAACCCAATAACCTCCTTTACCTTACTTATGCATGGCTTTCTCAGCCCAAACAGCACTGCCACCTTCAACCAAACCCAGGCTCCGTACATGCGAGCTCCAGGTAGAAGCAGGGCTGATACTACCTTTCCTAGCACATTCACCACACTCTATTTCACACGCTACATAGCATAACTACAATATAAGCTAAAGTTAAAGGAGCTAAATAAACTTACAGGATCAGCAAACACTCACCTTGCCGCATGGCCTCAAACAAAATGGATTCAAATAGGCCACTCCCACACTTAAATAACCTTCCTCTTCCTGGACTTCCTCCTTACTTACACATGGCTTTCTCAGCCCAAACAGCACTGCCATCTTCAACCAAACCCAGGCTCCATACATGCGAGCTCCAGGTAGAAACAGGGCTGATACTACCTTTGCTACCACATTCACCATACTCTATTTCACACGCTACATAGCATAACTACAATATAAGCTAAAATTAAAGGAGCTACCTTGCCGCATGGCCTCAAACAAAATGGATTCAAATAGGCCACTCCAACACTTAAATACTTCCTCTTCCTGGATTTCCTCCTGAGAGGAAGTGGATCTCTCCACCTGATCTCAAGGAGTTATGTGCCCTGTTTAGTAGTTCCCCCTGCTGGCCCCCAACTGACATTACTTCTTCTCTTATAGATAAACTGACTACATTTAATTGCTTCATCTGACATTTCCCTCACTGTCCTCCTCAAACTCTGTCCCCGCACTCCGAGCTCCCCCAGGAGCGAGACAGCTGATCTTGCTATGAATCCCCTACACCCCACTTCCACTGGACAAATCCTAGTCTTCCATCCTCGCTGCTCAGCTTCTGCTCCTAAGTCTGCATATCTAAGCTTTTTCCTTTCATAGGCTTCTTCCACTGAGTCTTCCCAAGGAACTGTCAGCTCAATGAAATAAACTATCTGTTGACTCACTGACCACAACACTAAGTCAGGACTCTGCCTGGTACAAGCTATTTCCTGGGGAACAACAAGCTTTCCCCCTAAATCTACTTGCATTTCCCAATCACAAGCACCTTCTAGGCGGCCACACCCTTGCTTCTTCACTAACTTTCCGCTTCTGTGTTTCTCTCCCTCACGGACAAACTGAATTACTAAACTCCTATCCTTAACACCTTCTGAATTTACCTGTCTTCGTTTCCCTTCGATGCCTGCAGCTAAACTTTTTTAACACCTGGTTATGTCGCCATGTATATCGGCCTTGTGACAAGCTAACTTTACAGCCTGACAAAATATGCTTTAAGGTTGCGGTACGTGAACACAATGGGCATGATGGGTCCTCATTTACCCACAGTATATGGGAGGCTGATATGCCTGATATCAGGCAACCACATGACTGTAAATATATACCAATTTAAATATGATTTCAATTTTATGTCTTCTCTTGCTTTTAAGGGCATTTTGGAAACCCAAACACACGCATGGAATATTGCTTTCCAACAATGCATGCTAACAATGTTATCCTGGAAACATTTCCCACTCTGTCATTTCCATTGTTTGGTAATTCACACAGGCTCTCTGTGTATTACTTCCTGTATGGCCATTTCCTGGAGGCTGTGTCCTCCCCAGAGGAACCATCTGTATACCTATCCAAATCACATCAACACCCACAATAAAGAAAGTAGTACAAAGGATATAAATATACCATGTTAAACATTAAGGCTAAATGCTAATGGGACATTGATGATTACTTGGACTATGCATAATAATAACAATAATAATAATAATAATAATAATAATAATAATGATAATAATAATAATAATATAAACATATGCTGTTTCAGTTTCCTTGGAGTGTACTGTGTATTTCTGAGGTAAAAAGCATTTCCTAGCAACCAACTGCCTCCTTGTGTGAAACAGAAATTGGTCCAGTGGGCTCATATTAGGCTTTCTTTGT